ATCTATACATATACATATGTGCCATGCAGCTTTTTATAGGCATACAAAAAAGGTGCAAATATTATACTTTATCTATGAATTAATACTAAAAAATATGCTAATCAAAAAGTAAATGTGTAAAGTGCACTCAGTAAAAAATGTTTAGATACGCTTCCTTTCTCTACCCCGAGAATCCTGATTCTAATTTTGAAATTTTCAACGCAGTAGTTCATTGATGTAGTCATTCTAGCAGTCAGTTTATTGCGTTGCTCATACGCAATTTCGAATGTTGTTTTAGTAAATATTTATACAACAATAAACATTACAAATAAAAAACTTATACATTGTATGTATGTAACTGCATACGAGTATGTAGCATTTACATTAGGCATATGACTTTTTTCTAAAATCAATATACATACATACATAGCTATAAGGAGAGGAAAACGTTTTCGGCAAAATTTTGGTACTTAAGCTCCAAAAAAACGATGTACGTATGTACTGGAGAAAAACACGAATACAAATATTTATATGGAAAATTTCATATCAACCGAATTATGACTGCGATCAAATGTTGGTTTCAAACATTTTTTTGTTGTTGTGCGTGGCGTCTGAGTAACTCATACGCCATGCACTTAGTACGTTCAATTTAAACTTTTCCGAGCTCTAATACGGATCCTAAAATTATCAATTTGAATTTTTTTTATCGCCATTTTGAGTTTTTTAAAACTAATTTCAGATTCCTAATCAGCAACCTCAAAGAATAAAAATCCCTCTTATTTTTTTTATATTTTTTTAGTATTGTAAAGCTTATTAACTGTTAGTACAATAGTATAGCTTCAAAATGAGACCTCATAGAACTCTCTACGTCGAGCCAATTTTTATACACGGGGGTGATGGATTTCGCAAATAACGCCACATATGTACATATGTATGTATAGATTGTTTAGTACTGTGTTTTTTTTTTTTATTTCCCGGAGTACACTGCGGCAACGTTTTGCAGCATATTTTGAGAAAAATATTATTTTGTTGTTTTTTAATCATTCCTCATCCTCTCCTCATAGGTACATACATACATATATTTAATTTTAGAAAAAAGTTATATGCCTAATGTACATACTTACTTGTACTTTTATCACAAACAGCCTGCTTTTTACCTGTTTCCATTGTTATTACATTGCTGTGATAATGTTTTAAATAAATATTGTAAATAATAACTGACAAGGAACAGAATAATTATTCTGACAACAAAAATAAGTACGCATATATACAAAGATGAAAAGAGTCGGCAAATGATATTTTTACAATATTTTATGCTAAAAATTGTCGTTAATTTTCCCTTAAAATATAGTTCATTACGATATAAATAAAACTCTTTTATCAGGATTTTCAACTTTTATCGAGGTGAAAAGCAAAATTATAAAGTGAATGAAAAAAAATGTCGAATTGCATTATCACACAGTGCCTCGCTTCCATTATAAAATGTGGGCAAAAATAGGATTGTGAACGAAGCTTGAGAGCGCTGAGTCCGAAAATGCAATTGGTTTTTTGATAACTTTCATACTTTCACTGTAAATGCAGTTTGAGGTTGAAAATTTGGGTTCTTGTTGCATTTACTACATAGGTATGTCCATGAAGTTCGCTCTTTTTTAAAAAGAGAGATGTCAAATGACAGGGTTTGGCCTGTAGATGTGCAATTTGAATTTTATTAAAATTATTTAAGAAGTTGAATGTATTAGATATTTTAATGTGGGTATCATTTGAAATGGTTTTGAATATGCTTTACTTCTAAACGATACGTAGAAATGTTGCCACATGTTTAAAAAAAATTAAATTCCGTTTAATTAAGGTAATAAAGTAACTGAAATATGTATATCAATATGGATATCAGACACGAAAAAAATTGGACATATTTACCAAGTGAAGAGTAAAAACATTCCCGGGTTAATTTAAGAGTGCAGTAATTTAAAAGGAATGTGATCAGAACAAATCACTGATTGAGAAAAAATACGATGTCGTAAGCCTTTGGTTTGACACAATTATTATTTTAGTTTAACTAAATTTGACTCTACACACAGGTGGCAACCCTCTATATATATGGAAATAAAAAGCTTCAAACCGACATTTTATTTCAAGCAATGTATTTTTGATATTTATTTCCGTGAAGCGGCACTGTGCAGCGATACTATTACTTTAAATTATGGAAAAATTAATTTCTTCTAAATTACAATAGATAGCGGTATGAAATTTAGAAGCCTTGTAAATAAATATTTATATTTTCGTGTTCTCAATCACAAGTATGTGGCTAAAATAGGTGACATAAATTGTAAATTGGAAGTACAGGTTTTCCTCGACAAAATTTAGGTAATCGAGGTGCCAAACACTACTTCCGTATGCCAGCGCTTCACTAAAGAAATCTGTTGTCCCCTTGTCTGAAATGTTTCAGTATTCAGAAATCACACTTATCGCACGATTTCGAGTTCGCTGCACTTTTTAATTAACTTTTAACAAACAAAAGCAAAAATGTATTTTTTAATTGCGTGCAAAAAAGTATAAAAATTGATTATTATCAATTAAATAAAATCGTATGCGAATGCCAGACAGCAATGGATTTTTACACTGTAATATCGTTTTGTGTGGAATCAAAAGAAACGCTGATCCACTTCCACTAACTAGACGCAGCGTACACAAAACAAAACAAAAAAAAAAACAGACTACGGTCAATAAGTTACAACAATTGAGTATGGCATAAAAGCCCAATGACAGCCATTTATTATATGGCTCTTTCGCCAGTTGACCATTAAAAGCGTCCACAATGCGCATAAATAATGCACTTTATGAATATTGCAGTAAATTCATAGTTAATTTTAAATGAGGTTGACATTGTAGAACAGAAACAACATTGCACCTATGTGTGGAATTTGCGAAAAGAAACGCACAAAATACAAAATAAGGCAATATGTCCATATTATTTTGCTCTAAAGTAAGTAAACTGAAATGACAAAGTTGATATGCGTCCAGGCAGGGCATTTATTACTATTATATTTTTGTTTGGTTTTAATGGGGTTACACGTGCAAGAGCTGCTTTCAGTATAAAAACATGTTTGAAAATTTAAAAGTTCATGGTCAATCTATCGAAAGGAGCTTATGGAAGGTATAAATACGTTGTGTTAATTACACTTTTTTCTTAAACCTTTCTAATTGTCCAAATGTTATATATATGTACATCGTTAAATTTGCGTTAAATATTAAACGTTACTAAACGTATCAAGAATTTGACCAATGCTACTTGATAATCTCTCTCACTACTGCTGCTGTCTGCTATTTCCTATAACAGCGGGCTCAAAGCTTTAAGTGCTAAGCCGCTTAGTCAAACAAGAGTAAGTGCCCCACTGATTCCATTTAAGATACGCCTTTGTACTCTATTCAGCTGCTTAACACTGGTTGCCCTGTCCAGTGCGCTCCTCCACACAAGGATGCCATACAATAAAATTGGTGTTAATTATGATATCTTAGAACCCTAGGTAGGAGATCCTAGCACTACTCAATGGCCCCCTGTGCAACTACATATATAAGGCTACCAACGCCTTCATTACCATTCCCTCAATGTTCGGCTTCCAGGAAAGCTTACTGTCGAGAATAAAGCCAAGATATTTCTCCAAAAACAAATTTCATATTGAAGATGAATATCGCCTTGGCCTGCCATTCTTTTGAAAATGTATGAAAAACCTTCAAAAATCAAAAAAAAAAAAATCAAGATAAGTCCGCAATTTGTATATCTCATGACATCGGTAAGGAACATTTATCCAAACACAGTTTTGAACCATCTACTTAAAGCTGGATACGAAACTAAATCAAGCCATTTTTGGAATTAAAGATTAGGCTAGGCCGCTGTGGTGTAGTGGTTAGCAGTGCGCGGTACCACTCCGCAGGTCCTGGGTTCGATCCCGCCCCTCGGCAGGCAATAGCATGTTATGGAGAACACAGCTTTTTGAATGGCTATATCTCCGAAGCGATAATTCCTAGGTGTTATGACAGTTTTTATAGATAATTGCATTATCTACATTTTTGCGACACCTATTTTTGTGATAGACCTTACAGTTTGGCTGAAAAATGCAAAAAACCAATTTATGTGACCTTTAATCTGGAATATTTTTTTTGCGGATATGGAATCGATGGGACCTTTTAACATTAAATTTTTTATGGAATGCCTAACATTCGTACGAATTTCAGCTCAATGAGAATTATTATAAGCTTACCCCTATTTGTTGAGCTAACTTGATTGGATTGAATTTTTTTTTAATTTCTCTTAAAACTTTAAAAAAAACAAAAATAGCCTAAATGCTATATATAATAAAATAAAGGTATATCAAAATAAAGGTATTGAAAAAAAAACGCATTTTCCATAACAAAAAATTTTTGATTTTTGAGAATGGAAATTTGACGAGTCGTTTTTCAAAAGTGCATGAAACATGCAATTTTGATGATATCGACAAATAAAATAATACGTATGTGCTTATTTTCCAAGTAGAATACATACATGGAAAACTTTGAGCCCTTTGAGCGACTTCTAAATATTTTTTGATTTCAAAAAAAAAAAAATAATAAGGGTTTACTTTTTTCGTTATAGAACAATCCTAGGGGGTGAGAACATTACAATTCCGACTTTACTGTTTTTGGACCACCCTAATGTACATACATATGCATGTACATATGTTGTTTAATATATAACAACATCCCTTCACTGGCTGTTCATGCGAAACCAACACAGCTAGCATACGAAAAGCCCAACCAAATGACCTTGACCGTCAAATTGAGTAACCCAATTTTCTGTAATTAAATCACAGAAATATTTATCCACGACATCTGAGAGGCATTTCTTCAAGCGAAACGAATTTGCTAGGCATACAAAAAAAAAACAGCAAATCAGCGGAAAAACTAGCTTACACAAAAACAGTAATACTAGTTGAATAAATAAAACAATTTACACAATAACAACAATAAAAAGCCAAAGAAAATAATCAACCCATAATGCCTGAATATTGCAAAAAACACGGAAAAGGGCAATAGGAATAAAAAACTAAAGAAAACGAGCAGGAATAATTTGCGCACGCAATTCGATACACGACAATGTTTTGCTATACTGAGCACAACATTTTAGCGTGACACTCGCACACACCCCCCTTCCACCCCGCCATCATCTCCTGCAGCCTATGATGTCGAACTGAGTGCGGCACGTGAATAATTATACATACATACATATGTACCTATGTACATACATACCGAGCCTATTTATATATGAATAAGAAATGAATGAATTGACAACAACAAAAATAACGAAAAAGCAAATAAACTTACCACCATATGTATTTCAAACAACAATAAATTTGCGAGAGTGGGGGATAAGCAAAAACAAAGTTAAAATTAAAAGGAAATACAAGCAAAAATTTTAATAAAACACAACTACATAAGGCGAAAAAAAAACAAAGAATAAATAAATAAAAGCTATAAAATAAAATACACTATAATTTAAATATGT